TGAACTATTACTATTTAAGGAGGACGTAATGAGGACAGTTGGAATGGAAAAGAGAACAGATGGGAGATGCTGCAGAATAAAATAAACACTTGGCCACTGACTTGATATGGAGGCATAAGAGAGGCCAAAAGAGACATCTTAGGTTTTGAGCCTAAGTGCAGAGAAGTGTGAATAAGCAGTGTTTGGTGGGGCAGTTTGTGAGGGGCCATACATGGTTTCTACAGGGCTGTTGTAATTGATAAAAGTTGCCAGTATTCATATTTAAAGGATATAAACTTTTTTAATGTTTGTAAAGAATACAGGGTCTGTTTTGTTCAAAGGTTGTTGCATGAACCAGGAAACAGTGCAGCATGCTCCCAGATATAAAACAGGCCGTCTTATTCTTCCAAGATTCCCCTTTGGAGATACACAGTTGCCGCTAACAGCACCCATGGAGAGGAAGGGGTTCCCTGTTTGCAAGAAACTCACCTCTGTGCTCACATGGGGTTGTATACACTTCCCCAGTACTGCCCACCTGTTTGGATCTCTGGCTACCCGCCTGCCCTCTCACTGAGTGCAAATAACTGATGCAGTGTTATGCCTGAAAGGAAGCCGAGCTTCCTAGATAGAATGTCTCTTGGTAGGCCTGGGTGTTAATCCTACCCGAGGCCGAGTTCTGCAGCAGGTGATAGCTTGATTCTGGACATACCGAGTTTGAAGCAGTATCAGCCTGTCTAAGTGGAAATGTCAGGCAGACAGTGAGGAATTGAGGATTGACACTCAGGAGCGAGAGAAGGACAAAGGCGTGGGACGAGAGGCAGACTTGAATTGGATGAGCTAACCAGGGGCAGAAGTGTGGAGGCTTCGAGGAGATAAAAAGTCAAGGAGAGATCCCTGGGGAATGCCTACATTTAGAAATGGAGAAGGAAGAGGAGGCTGAAAGGGCAATCCAATGGACCAGAAGAATCAGAAAGGAACAAGTCATATAAGCGCAGGGGGAGGAGTATCAAGAAGAAGGTGGTCAGCAGTGTTCACCATCCTGCAGTGGAGCAGGAGGACCAGGGTGGAGAATAGGCACCTGGATATGGCAGATGGGGTCTCTGGTGAATGTCCAGACACAGAACAAGCTTGGGGGGTGGGGGGGTAGGAAGGCAGGGAACAGGGAGGCCTGGGCAAGTCTGATTGGACAAACTTCATTTTCTCAAACCCCAAAAAGAATCATCTAAAGGAAGGAAAGTCTTCCCATGGCAGACCTTGGGAAGAACAGGAAGCTCTAGAATGGGCACTGGAGAAATTGAAAAACGAAATGGCCTTCCTTCCATTATGTTTTATTTGTTTACAAGTATGGTTTTTATAGTAGCATCAACGGCTCTGGTTTGAGAATAGGACTTACTTACTGGTCTGTAGGTACCTTCAGTGATCGGGTCACCCCTGAATTATTAGCCACGTGTAATAAGTTAGACCATTTTGCTAATATCCCTGAGTCCACCCAAAGTTCTTCACTGGTCATTGTCACACACCTTACCTCATCCCCTGCTTTGACTGTCATCCTTGTCAGCTGGGCCTAGAATTTCCTATGCATCTGAAGTTATTTTACCTGCTATATTCCACCTGTTTGTTTTCACTATTTAGGGTATTTGTTTTCTCTAATAAAGTGAAAGTTTGTTCTGTCCATCTTGTTTCTCCTTTTTCATTCCATTGATTGTCCCACTGCATTTTCCACTGGCATGTTTGGAAGACCTCTTTTCTCAATGCATTGTTACTACCCTAGTATTTGGCTGTAAGTCATAGACAACCCAACTAACAAATGAATTAAACAAATAGGATATTATCTTCCTCAAGTAATTAGAATCTTCAGGTAGGTAGTTACAGGAATTGGTTCAGCAATTTAATAAGTCAGTAAATCAGGCCAAACTGATTCTTTCGGCCTTTTCCTCATGGCAGTAAAACAGCTGCTAAAGCTCCAACCATCGCATTCACTCTTAAAACAGATAAAGGGGGAAGGGGCAGGCCAAAAAATGTTCTTCTGTGTGTTATTGGCTATAACATAACAAATGGCTTACCTGTAAGAGTAGCTGGGAAAGTGTATATTTAGTTGTTTTTTATTTTTGTTTTTGTTTTTTTCATAACCTCTCTAGTGAAGAAAAGCAAGTAGGGGCGAGTTTGCTGTTAGATGTTGGGTAGGTCTGCCACAGCTACCTTTACTGACCTTCTACAGCACCCAGCTATCTAATGTTGAAGTTGCATTTGACCTGTTATACCCATGGGTTGCCTTAATATATTTCCTTATTTATCATTCCATTTTAAAACAACTTTTTTTTTTTAAAGGATATTTTTAAAGTTAGTCTCTCAGTATTTTTCCTTCATAGACATTTGTCTTGGGACATTAGAAAGGTTTATTAAAAAATCATTTTCAGACTATCTACAGGCAAATAACTAAAACTCATCATTTTAAAAATCAACCAATGCCTATATTTTATGCTAATTTTAATTTCTGAATTTGAAAAATTGTGAGATGGATTTAGTTTTGTTTCTCTCCTGATAAGAATATTGTTTTTATTCTCAGTTTGACTCTTCCACATTTGCTTTTCTTGGGTGGTTGAGAGCCAGTGAAAATTTTGCTAGAGTCAAAGGACGTATGTAGGTGAGCCTTTTCCAGCTTTAAGCGATCACAGTAGCAGGTTATAGTACTTTTGTTTTTCAGCCTGCCTCCTTTTTTCATCGGTTGACTTCATTCATCTTAATCCTGATCCAAGGGAAATGTTAACTGTTTGCTTCTTTGTAAAGAAAACATAATATGCATGTAAACATGTATACGTTTTGGTTGAAGGCCTCCTTTTAAAAAAAAATTTTTTTTTTTTTTGTACTTTACTGATTTTTAGAGAGAGAGGGAGAGAGAGATAGAAACATCAATGAGAGAGAACATTGATCCTGCATGCCCCCCACTGGGGATCGGGTCCACAACCTGGGCAAGTGCCCTGATGGGGAATCGAACTTGTGACCTCTTGAATTGGTCAATGCTCAACAGCTGAGCCACACCGACTGGGCTAAAAATATTTTTTTAATTGTGGTAAAATACACATAAAATGTATCATTTTAACTCGTTATGTGGCGTTATGTTCACATTGTTGTGCAACCATCACCACCTTCCAGCTCCAGAGCGTTTTTCTTTCATGCCTGAAATTCTATCCATTCAACACTAACTCCCCACTCATCCCGCCCCCACCCCCTAACCTCCACTCTACTTTCTGCCTCTATGAATTTGATTATTCTATGCACCTCATGTAAATGGAATCATACAGTATTTGTCTTTTTGTGAATGGCTTATTTCACTTAGCATAATGTCCTCGGGGTTCATCCATGTTGTAGCAAGTGTCAGAATTTTCTTTTTGAGGCTGAAATACATTTTACTGTATGTACACACCACATTTGTTTATCCATTTATCCGTCAGTGAACTCGAGTCCCTTCCACCTTTTGGCTGTTGTGAATAGTGCTGCTGTGAACAGGTTCTCCCAACGGCACGGAAGCGCCTGATGCTTTGGGTGGACGAGGTGTGTATCTGCACCAGGAGACGCTGCCTCTGCGCGTACACGCTGATGGGAGCTCTGGGCCGGCTGTTCACACTCTTAGACATCAAGCTGCCTCACAGGAAAGCAGTTGTTCTTTTTCTAGATGTAATTTTTAACTAATCCTTTTTATTGTATAGTATATATAGTATTAGTATAATACCTAATTTAATTTGATAATAAATATACAAAAGAGAGCTCACCTTTGATAACTTTTAAAATAATGGTGTCCGCTATGATTTGATTAATCACGAATTCCCTAAACATTTCTGGCTTTGAAGTTTTTATAACCTCTTTGTGAAAGATTGGCCACCCTAAAGAAGCTTTGCCCAGGATAGCTTTGGCTTGTTCTCACGTCCAGTATTCTCCGGAAGGGGAAGTCCATCCCGGTGGAGCTGATGGTGCTGTGGGCTTCATTCCGAAGGCCCTGGTGAATGCATTGTTTCGGATTCCGCGGTAGGGTCCCAACAAAACCTTGGAGACACAGAGTTTGAGTGTGGCTCCTAGGTCTGCCTCTTATGAAGGAGCAAACGGATGTGTCTGTCGCTTACTGAGCTCTAGGGTATGCCAGGAGTTCTGGATATTGCCTGTCTTAATTCATTTAATCTGCACAACAACCCTATCATGACTCCCAGTTTACACACGATGGAGCCGAGGTGAGGCAGTGGAGTTCCTTGCCTAAGTTGACTCAGTTAATAAGTGGTGTCAGGATTCAAACCCAGGCCATCTAACTCTAAAACTGGGACTTTGCTAAACTGTCTTCTAGAAATCAGGGCTTATGGGTTGGAGGTGGGGAGGGAAGAATAAGTGTGTGTGAGATCGGGTGGCAGAGCAGCACGTAGTGTTACTAGAAGGTGCTGTTATGTTCAGGATCCTTCCTCCTTGTTAAAAACAAAAGCATGATTGTCTAGCTCATTGGAAGCAAGACCTATCTGCTTGTGGCCATGCAATCTCCCCCTCTGGGGAGTCCAGTTCAGGTGGAACCCAGTGCAGTTTCCAAGGGCTGCTGTAACAGACACTCAGGCCGAGGGCCTAGAACAACAGAAATGTGTTGCCTCACAGTTCCAGAGGCCAGGCATCCGAATCAAGGTGTCAGCATGAAGGCATCAGCAGGGGAGTCCCTCTCAAGGTGCTACGGAAGGGTCTGCTCTGGGCCTCTCTCCTAGCTCCTGGCTGTTGGGTGGCAGTCTTTGATGTTCCTTGACCTCTGCACCCCCCATCTCTGCCTTCCTCTTCACGTGGCGTTCTCCCTGTGTGTCCACATCCCCCTTTTGGAGACACTAGTCATAATGGATTAGGGACCTTCCTGCTCTGGTATGGCCTCATCTTCAACTAATGACATCTGTAAGACTCTTTCCAAATAAGGTCACATTCTGAGCTTGGGACTTCAACATGAATTCTGGGAGGGGGGAAACCATCCGGCTTGTAACACCCAGTGTCTCCTCTGGTCTCAGCGGCGCCCGGACAAGTGGGGGCGAGAATGAGCATGAGGACCTGGAGCAGGAGTGGAAGCCCCCAGACAAGGAGTTAATCAGGAAACTGGTGGATCAGATTGAATTCTACTTCTCCGACGAAAACCTGGAGAAGGATGCCTTCCTGCTGAAGCACGTGAGGAGGAACAAGCTGGGCTATGTGAGCGTTAAGCTGCTCACGTCCTTCAAAAAGGTGAGGCTCCGCTGCCGGGCTGCCGCAGGGTGTGGGCTATGGGTCGAAATATTTTTTACTCTTTTGAAACCTAACGACTAGTGTTTTTTTACTTCCTTTGAGGCCTGAAAAAGAGAAAAATGATCAAGAGAAGGGATTTAGGATTGTTATTGGGAATACAGTTTCACACTATTAAAAGGGGCCTGGGTTTCGGGACAGACAGTAATGGCCCTTGGAAATACCTACCAGGCTTAGAATTAGGTGAAATTCAAGCTTTTCCTTTGTCAAGTTGAACAAACAGAAGGAGGAAGGAGCGCTCGGACCTCCCCAGGATGTCGCCGACATCCTCGTCTGCAGATGGAGACGAGACCGCCTGCTGCTCCCGTCTGGGCAGCAGACGCGCGGCCTTGTCGTGTGCACGTCCAGCAGGCGCTGTGTCTCTGCTTCTCGAAGGGCTGACAGACCAGTTTGCCTCAGAACTCGGTCTCCCTTGGGGGTGTGTACTAGCATGGAGAAGCACTACCTGCCTGCTGTCTGATGAGGTGTGGAACGAGCGCATCCTGGCCAAGGTGTCGGGGGCAGAGGACGGCTTTTCTCCCAGAGCTCCTCTGCCTCACCTCCTGGTGTGCTCTGCCCTCTTCTGTTGCTCTTTCCTTTTCATTCCTCAAACATACTCATCCTGTGTGCTGAGTACTGCGTGAGACACAGGACGTTCAAAGTGAATCGGGCATTCCCCCCGCCACTGCACAGTCCAGTGAAGGAGAGAGAGAGCCGAGAAGCATTACAACGTGACCTGAGTCGGGGCCGTGGAAGAAAGAACAGCACTGTTGGTGATGAGCTGACTGGAGCCACAAACCCTGCCCACAGCATCGCGAAGCCTTCCCAGGAGTGGTGGCGTTGAGGCTGGGTTTGGAGAGTGAGGAGGAGTTTTCAAGGTACAGGAGAAGGAAGGGGCCTTTCATGTTGTAAAGGAAAACCTACTCTTCCTCCTGTGCCTCTCCCTACTGTCTCACTGTTCCCACTCACACCTCTGACACCAGGTGTGAAAAGAGGTTCCCACACCAGGCTTTTCTGTGACACCAGCTGAGTGCCCTACAGTGGACCTCAATTCTGACACTGTCTACATGGAGATGGCATTAGATCCCAGAGGTTAAGGGCTCAGTCCCACAGACTGCTCCCCACTTAAGATGCCAGTCACATCTAGTAGGTCCCCAGGTTACTCACAGCTTCTGTCCAACTTGGTTACAAATCAGAGGTTCCCATGACCTCCTTCCCTTGGGTTCGATTATTTGCTAGAATAGCTGGCAGAACTCAGGAAACAGTTACATTTACCAATTTATTAAAGGACATAACAAAGTAACAGATGAACAGCCAGATGAAGAGACACATAGGGTGAGATCTGGGAGGGTCCTAAGCACAGGAGTTTCTGTCCTGGTGCAGTTGGGGTGCGCCACCCTCCAGGTAGGTGGATGTATTCACCCACCTGGAAGTTCTCCTAACCCTTTACTGTTTGGATATTTTAGAGGCTTCCTCACATAGACATGATCAATTATTAACTTCATTTCCACACTCTCTCCCTTCTCTGGAGGATGGGGACAGGGAGCTGAGAGTTCCAAGCTTCTAATCATAGTTTGGTCTTTCTGGTGACCAGCCCCCATCCAGGAGCCATTGGGAGCCCACTCAGAGTCATCTCATTAAAACAAAAGATGCTACTAGTGCTCTGATCCCTTAAGAATTTACAAAAGTTTCAGGAGCTTAGTGCCAGGAACAAAGACAAAGACCAAAAATGTGTGTGTGTGTGTATTTCTTATTATAAAGTGCAATATCACACATGTATAGATAACTGAGCAAGCCCTCACATGCAAAATGCTTGTGGGGGACCCCAAAATGCAGCAGCCAGTGGAATTATCTTGTACATATATTTTTTCCTCCCCAGACACCCTAAGAGTCATCCTGACTTTCTTTTCTTTTTAAGTTGCCATTTGTGCATGTATTTTGGGAGCCTCTTCTCTGTTGAAAACCAGCTGTGGAGTGGACACAGACTCCCCAGTACCTCCAAAATGAGAGCAAAGACCCTTTTCTTTTGAGAGGGTTTCCTGCTAATCGTATTAGAAAACCTGGACGACAACGGTAACAAACAGGGCAATGACGGTTTCTGAACATCTCAGAGTTCTTTAGTGATTGCACCAAGCGCACGGCTCCCTGGTTCCTCTCAGCTGGCGCCTGGTCACTCCTTCCAAGGCTCACAGACACAGGCCGAGGGCGCTCAGGCGGAGATCTTCCAGTTGGCCTTGCTCCTGGCTCTGGAGGGGGGCCGGGTCCTTCCCAGAGCCTCCGTGTCCCCAGCCCTCCAAGCAAGGCCGCACTGGCCTCCCCCAGGCGCCATCTGCCCAGGCTCCAGGCTTAGGCAGTAGATTCTCCTTCTGTCCTGAGTGCTTCCTCCCTGACTGACTTTGGAGAATGTTCCCCAGGTCGTACCCCCAAGAGAACCACTGCTTGGCTCTCCCACAACCTAGCACTGACCTGCAGTCTTCACCTTCACCCTTTCTGGAGCCCTCACTGCGCCCATTCACCTGAAGTCCAGCTCTTTCCCTGGACCCACTTCTCTCTGCCCTTAGCCTGTGTTGTGTGATCAGCCCAGTGAGTCTGTGGGTAGGTGACTCGTGGTTCCCACACCTAAGCACAAATCTGGGCCTTTTCATCTGGAGACCACAGGCCAGAGTGGACAATGTCCTCTTTCCGGGAGCCTGCCCGTGTGACTGAGAACTCTGCCAAGGTCGTCCCGATGCTGCTCTGTGAGAGTCCTCCCTTCTGGAGTTCTGGGAAGTTCCTGCTTTGGTCTCAGAGGACTCAGGGTGATCTCGCTGTTCCTGGATCTGGCTACCCACCCCACCCACCTCCACCATTTCTTTGGGATGACTCATTCTCCCTGGCATTCCCTTTGCTGGAAGTGGGCCTCCTGAAATTACTGTTTTACAATATGAAGATAGTTTTCACATATTGCAACATTGATCCCCGCACTTGCCACTAAGTGAGGAGGGGATCTCGGTCTTCATTCTCCATGAGGCCCACACTGGATTTAATTCCAAGTTGAAACAGCCCACATTATTTCCAGGAAATAGTGCAGCGCAATATGAAACATCTTTTGGAACCTCCTCTGTGGCAAATGCATAAATACAGAAATACAACTTCAGAGAGGAATTTGATGTTAAAATCTGAGGCCTATCAAGACGATAGCATGGAATATTTGAAATAATGACACCACCAATATTTATTGAGTACTCACTGTGAGCTAGACCCTATTCTAAGTTTTATATATTTTAACTAATGTGGTATGTCTGGATGTAGATATGTATATCTTTATTTATTTAATCCTCAGACCAACTCTATGAGGTAGGCATATTAACATCTCCATTTCACAAATGAGGAAGTCGAGGCACTAGGTCTCACTGCCACTGGGGGGTGGGCCTTGCATTCGTGCCTCCAGCAGCCTTGGTCCAGAGCCTGCAGGTTTAAGCTTTAAACTTGTGCAGAATAGAGAGAACATGTCCATCACCAAGAAAAGTTCTGTTGGACGGCACCGCTCTAACTGGCTGCCTCACTGGGCATTCTGCACGGTGCTCACTCATTCATTCACTAGATTTTTGAGTGCCTGCTCACACCAGGTATGACTGTAGATATGAGCGTTTCAGAGTCAGGACAGGTGGAGAGAGGCTACAGAGGACACAAGGTGCACAAGGACATTGGGTACCATGTCAGATTTGCTTTGTGTTCTGCAGGTGAAACACCTTACACGGGACTGGAGAACCACAGCGCATGCCCTCAAGTACTCAGTGACCCTGGAGTTGAATGAGGACCACCGGAAGGTGAGGAGGACCACCCCTGTCCCGCTCTTCCCCAATGAGAATCTCCCCAGCAAGATGCTCCTGGTCTATGATCTCCACCTGTCCCCCAAGCTGTGGGCCTTGGGCACCCCCCAAAAGAACGGGAGGGTGCAGGAGAAGGTGATGGAACACCTGCTCAAGCTCTTTGGGACCTTTGGAGTCATCTCATCAGTGCGGATCCTCAAACCTGGGAGAGAGCTGCCCCCTGACATTCGGAGGATCAGCAGCCGGTACAGCCAGGTGGGGACCCAGGAGTGCGCCATCGTGGAGTTTGAGGAGGTGGACGCTGCCATCAAAGCCCATGAGTTCATGGCCGCGGAATCTCAGGGGAAGGAGAACATGAAAGCTGTCCTGATTGGTATGAAGCCACCCAAAAAGAAACCTCCCAAAGACAAGACCCAGGACGAGGAGCCCACCGCCAGCATCCACCTGAACAAGTCTCTGAACAAGCGAGTCGAGGAGCTTCAGTACATGGGTGACGAGTCTTCCGCCAACAGCTCCTCGGACCCCGAGAGCAATCCCGCGTCCCCCATGGCTGGCCGGCGGCATGCGGGCACCAGCAAACTCAGCCCTTCGGGCCACCAGAATCTCTTTCTGAGCCCCAACGCCTCCCCGTGCTCAAGTCCCTGGAGCAGTCCCTTGGCTCAACGCAAAGGCGTTTCCAGAAAATCCCCTCTGGCCGAGGAAGGCAGGCCGAACCCCAGCACCAGCCCCGAGGCCGCGCGCAAGTGCACCGATTACTCCTCCGACAGCAGCGTCACTCCCTCCGGCAGCCCCTGGGTTCGGAGGCGCCGCCAGGCCGAGATGGGGACACAGGAGAAGAGCCCCCGAGCCAGCCCGCTGCTCTCCCGGAAGATGCAGACTGCGGACGGGTTACCTGTGGGGGTGCTGAGGTTGCCCAGAGGCCCCGACAACACCAGAGGATTCCATGGTGGGCACGAGAGGGGCAGGGCCCAAGTATAAATAAATGCCTCCTATTTTTATACCGGCTCCGTTGGAAACCACCTGTTTTCAAGGTTCTGACAAACACCTGGCATGACATAGAATGAAATTAAGCCCTCTTGCAAAGATTTTGGATATGTGTAAACCTCTTAATTTATATATTTGTAATGATATAACTTGTCTGGTACGCTCTGGTTTTAAGACCATCTTCTAGTTCAGAACATCCCTTCCTGCTGGCGTGACCGCGTCTCGGCGCTGCAGCCTTGTGTGGATGTCGCGGCTCTGTATGGCCGTGGGGCAGGCGAGGTGTGGCAGCCAGGATCCTCTTCAGGGCAGGGTTCTTCTCTCTGGTGACTCGGGTGTCCTCAGCGGCGTGCAGGGGCTTCCTGAGAGCCCAGAGTTCTGTTGTGCAGTGGCAACTGGTTAAGCCTGTAGCATGATGTCTTCTAGGACCTAATGTATGTTTCCTGTCAAGTGAATAAAAAATAAAACCCTCAATTGTGAGTGCTGGCTCTGAAGTCATAGATCATGGCTGACACAAGCCTGCCATCTGACAAGGCTGCTTAGTGTGTCACGAGGCCCTGAGTGTTTAACAGAGACACATTATTTGAATGTGCCCCAGGGCAGCCTTGGGCTCCCCCTGGGGCTCCCGGTAGCCTGGGAGGCCAGAGCGTCTGTGCAGATGTTAGAGCACCACACCTCTCATCACAGCGACTCAGAGCAGAAGACAACTCAGTGTAGACCAAAGTCTCCAGACGTGGTCCCTGGACTGGCAGCATTGACATCACCTGGGAACTTGTTAGAAATGCAGATTCTCAGGCCTGCTGACTCAGAAAGTCTGGGAGAGGGGCCCGGAATATGGATTTTAAGCCTGTCTGGTGATTCTGAGAACAAAGGTGTGGGACTGGAGGTCACACAGTGTGACTCCCACATGCCACCTCCCACTTCCCAGTTCTGTGACCTCAGGGCACTTACTAGCCCCCCTCAGCCGTATTATACCCCTGAGAGTGCTTTGTCTGGATGTGAGTGCCTGAAATGCAGGGGCCCTCCATCAACAGCAGCTCCTGTTCCTTGGATTAATGTCCACTACCATGTGGGAGCTGCCTGGGTGTCGCAGAATGAGCACTGGCCAAGGTTTCAGTGTTGGCTCATCCGCTTGCTAGTTGGGGGGATTTGGGGCAAGCCACATTTAAAGGAATTTGTTAATAATTATTGAATAGTGATTAGTTGCCAGAGACTATGCTAAGAGTTTTCCATGCATTTAATTTTCCCAAGAACCACATGAGAAAGTTCAGAGATTATCTCTACTTTACACTGCAAGAAACAGACATTTTGTGGGTAAATGACTAACCCATCCAAGGTTTAATGGTCAGATTGGTGGAGCTGGTGCTGGAGCCTACACTCTTAACCACCGGGTGGTACTCGGCGGCTCTGAACTTCACCATCCACATTAAAAATCAAAGGACCACAAAAGGTGCGAATTTGCTTCAGCACCTCCTATGTGCTGGGTATTTTGCTGGAAACATTCTTTCAGTTATTTTCTCAATGCCCCTGTAAGGTTTATTATGCCCGTTCTACTCATGAAGCTGTTGAGGTAGGGTAATACCGAAAGCCACTGTAAAAAAGGAAGGAGACAATGTGTTTTAAATTACACAGCTCTATACAAATTAGCAAGTGATTATTATCTGGTTAGTAAGATAATGTGTCCCTCTATTAACTGGTAAGTGCCTCCAGGAATTACTCAGATCTGCCATTTCCACCCTCAGCAGCTGTAGGTGGCCCAAAGGCCTCCTCACCCTGAGCAATGCCCTGGCCGCTCCAGGTGGCCACTCTCTGCACGTCACTCCCTGGCTCTGCCTCCCCTGGCCCCACCCAATCCTTGCCCACAGCCACCATGCCTGCCCCTGGCTGTGGGGCCCTCTGGGCTTCACCAACTCTTGGCTTGGCTATGTTCAGACTCTTCCACTCCTTTATGCTCTGGCATACAAGCTGCAGCTCTATTTTTAGATTCAATCGTAGGGATCATAATTTCTTTGAAAAAATTCCTTTACACTCCCCTTACTATGTGAATACAAGTGAACTTGGCCTTCTGTTTGTAGTATCGCCCTGTGTCGCCTTAGGAAGAAACCCCAATATGGGGTTAGCAGATCTGGGTTCTAATTTTCCAATAAGTAACTATTTGACCTTGAGCAACAAGGTATGCATGACCAATGAACATAGATAACAAAGCCGGGGATGGGGTGGGGTGGGGGGAGGGTGTTAATGGGGGAAAAATGAGAAACATCTGTAACAAAAACAAATTAATAAATAAAAAATAAAATAAAATAAAGATGAACCCTCCTTCTCATGTTCTGGCTTACCCCAGCCTCACATTAGAATCACCTAGAGAGCTTTTCAAAACTGCCTGTGTCTACCCCGTGATAGTCCGATTTAATAGGTTGTGGACCAGGCCTGGGAATCGGTGGTTTAATTTTTTTTTTTTTTTTTTAACATTTAGTTTTTAGAGACAGAAGAAGGGAGAGAGAGATAGAAACATCTATATAAGAAAGATACATCTATTGGCTGCCTCCTGCACACCATCCACCAGGGATCAAGCCCACAACCCGCGCATGTGCCCTGACCCGGAATTGAACCAGGACCTCTCAGGCCACGGCATGACACTCAATGCACTGAGCCACACCAGCCAGGTGGAATCGGTGGTTTTATAACTCCCTAGGAGATTCCAGTGGGCAGAAGCACTGACCCGTTAGAATGAGGAGGGCACTCGAAATAACTGAGGGGGCCTTAGACACATCCATCCCCTCCTCCTTTTCTAAGGCTTGGGCTATGTCTCTCTTGCAGACCTTTATGTGCCCAGAGTCCTGAGCACCTTGCTGATGAATCTGCTCTTTCTAAAGCTCTGGTCAGTCCTTCAGCAGGAGCCTGTTTGTTAGCATAGCAGGCTATTCTTGAATAGCTTGGTTGGGAAACGCAGCCAACAGTATTTTTACAGATGTTTCATTATTTTTAATGAAAACCAGTTCTCTCTCCATATTGAGATCCAAAGCTTGCTGGACATCTCTATCTGAGGTGCTGGCAGAACATTCAAATTCTACACACGCCCAAAATGCCCTCCGCCGACGCACCTTCCACATGCGCACGCACACCTGCCCCTCTTGGCTCCCCGTCCCAGCCAGGGACGTCACATCCTCCATGTCCCCCAACTGGGAGAGAGACTGTGGCAGGTTCTGGCCTTTGACACCTGGGTTCAAATCCTAGTGGCCTTTGACAATAACTTAGACTCTGTGCCTGAGTTTCCTCTCCCATAAAAGGTGGATGATTATATTCCCACCTCATATGCTTTGTGAGAATTAAATGAGTTAATACCTATAAAATGCTAGTGACTTACACATGGTAAACACTCAGAGAATGTGAGGTCAGCAACTCAGAGCTGTTGGGTCTAGCCCTGAAATATTTCTTACTGGCTCCCTCCTCCTCAAGTCCTTCTTTCTACCTTCCCCCAAGGCCTTCAGTTTCTGGTCCTCCTCTTCAACCTCCCTCCTGGTGCCTTCAAACTCACCTTACTAGTTCACATGGCTTCTTTACTTCAACACATTAAACAAAAAACATGTTGCTGGCTGTCCCTTCCCTAAACACAGACTAAGGGGCAAACCGCCCCAATGCCCTGCCAAGCCATGTGTCTTGGGGGAAGGCCCCGTGAACTTGAGCTGTGTTGATCCAGAAGCAAGTCCATGCCTGCGTCTCATCGACCATTGCGTCACTCCCGGGTGTGGTTGGGTTGAAAAGGGCTGTTTGTTTTCTGCCACACGGGACTGAAACACACGAGAAAGGACTCTTTGAAGACACATTGGTCACTGATTATTTGTAACTATTTTCCCTAAAATGTGCACTCGCTTTTTCCAATAGTATTCAGCTACATATTCTTTTCTTGTGAGTGGTTAACCCGACGGAAAAGCACCTAGAAGCTAACAGTAATGCCCTAGGAGGAAAGGCTTAAGATGATAGAGAATGTTGACTTCTGGTTCCCAACACCACTTTCGATCCTGGTGAGTGCCATTCCCTAATGGGAATGTAATCCTGCAGGCGACAGCCTGAGCACTTCATCACATGAAACACCTCTCACGATGATGGGCATGTTGATGGGCCAGTCCTCTGTGACGCTGCCAGTGGAGCGAGAGGCACGCTGGTCACTCACTGCTCTGGGAGCTGGAGTAACTGTGGTGGGGGTCATGTTTGGAGTGTGTGTGCCGTCCAGCGGGTAAACTGAGCTACTTGCACTTGAACCAGATTCTAGTTGAGCAGCTGTTTACACACACTCCAGATGTGGATGGCTATGGGATGAGCAGAAGCAAGCAAGATATGCCTTGTGACTGTACCCAGACATCTGATTAAATCCCACAGCACTCTATACTGTGGGTGAAAGAAACCGTGGCTGACGTGGCTTGAATGAAAGATGAAGTCTGAGTGATCCTTGCCCTTGTCTGTAACTGGGATATGCAGTAGGTTCAGACCTGCTTTCTCAACACTGAGCTTATTATTGACCCACCTTCAAAGATGAATTTGAGGTCGATTTGTTAATGGCTTTTCAAAATGAGGGCCCCTGGAGGCAAATTCCACGCATTGGTTTGCTCTCTCTCAGCGCCCTCTGGTGTCCGACCTGTGACATAGCCCTATCCAAATGGATTATAATCCAGGACCTGCATTGAGTCCAGTTTATACTTTCACTGTTGGGGAATAAGAAAGACCCTAGTTTAAATTCCAGCCTTCCTACTTGCCAGACCTCTCTCAGGTTCAGTTTCCTCATCTGTAGAATGATGGTAATACCTATTTCAGTATTTTTGTAAGGATCAAAGGGGATAATATATGGAAAGTACTTCACACAATACTAGCTTAAAGAAATTGCTCCAAAAAACAGGTCATCACTTAAACTCTCAGCCATAAACTCACCCTAAGAAGTATGGGGAAGACTTATCTAGGGCACTGATCACTTGGCATTAGTCAATTGTTAATGAACAATTTCTTTGCTGGACTATGAACCATGAGGTAAAGACACATCTAATTTCAACACATCTAATTAAGTCTGGTCCATGACTGGAGTTCAGGAAGTATTTGTCGAATGGATCCTGAATAAAAACATGTTTTCCTAAGCCTTAAAAATATGGTACAATGTACTGTAAATTTAAAGTTTCCAAACATCCAAGCAGACCCTCTAATAGGCCACATAGATGCCCAGGGCTCACTGACAACTTCTTGTCCTGAAACACTCTGGCCCTGGAAGGGACCTTGGCATGCCTGTAATGTCCCATCATAACCTATAGAAGAGCATATTCTGAATGACTAAGCCTGGGGTGGGGACTCCTGAACTCTGAACCCTGGAGGAGTCTGAAAAGGAGCATGAGTACCTAGGAGAGATGGGAGGAGCTTAGGGATGGAGGCCAAGTCAGGACCAAGAAACCACTGAGGCTGCCTCTCATCTGTGTAAAATAAGGGTGAT